AGCATGACTCATGTCCCCAGCAGTCACCCGCACAGACTGTGGACTTTTGAGTCATGGAATGGTCTGGATGGGAAGGAACCTTAAAGATCATCCCATTTCAGCCCTGCCATGGGACACCTTCCACTATCCCAGGTTGCTCCAAGCCATGTCCAACCTGGCCTTGGACACTTCCAAGGATGGGGCAGCCACAGCTGCTCTGGACAGCCTGTGCCAGGGCCTCACTACTCTCACAGGGAGGAATTCCTTCCTGTATCCCACCTATCCCTGCCCTCCAGCAGTGAGAATCCACTGCCCCTACTCCAGGCCCTTGTCCCAAGTCCCTCTTCAGCTCTCCTGGAGCGCCTTTAGGCACAGGAAGGGGCTCTAAGGACTCCTCAAAGACTTCTTTTCTCCAGGCTGGACACCATCAGCTCTCCTGGTCTGTCTCCAGATAAGAGGGACTCCAGCCCTAAGAGCATCTCTTGGCCTTCTCTGGACTCACTCCATGCCCTTGCAATCCTGGGGGGCTTCTGGCTTCCCAGTCAAGCCCTCCTTGAACCTCAAGGGGGTACTCCTCTCTGCAGCCAGCACGGAGCTGTTCATGCTCCCAAGATTCCATCCTCACATCTTGTTCTTTGTCTGAGCCAAGCACATCCTGCTATGGTGAGACCATGAGGGACTCTTCCCAGGACATACCTCTGAAAATAATTGCAGGCAGGGGAAAGCTGGCCCCTTACAAAGACTAAACTTCAGCAAACACATTTCTGTATGTCTCCTCTGCCAGGGACTGATGTACCAGCAGCTGCTGAGCCACCAAGTGCCCCTTCCCTCATCTTAGGTACAGGATTTATGAATCCCTGGGTAACACCTCTCTCCTCTCCTCTCCTCTCCTCTCCTCTCCTCTCTTCTCCTTTCCTCTTCTTCTTTTGCTTGGAAATCTGCTCTGGGCACAGCATGGTGACTATGCCCACATTCCGCCTGCTAAACAAACAGCCAGATCAATAACTGCCATTAAACCAGCCATTTTCCACCCCAAATGAGCTGTGGGGCTTTTGGGCCAGGATGTGAGACCCTCACTCCACCTCCAGATTTACTCTCCCCATCCCCAGCTCTATGCCCAGCCCCATCCCTTGCTCATCCCTTGCTCAGTGCTGGAGAGAGTGCTTGGATTCCAGGCAAGAAGTTCCCAGTCTCCTTTGCCTTTTAAGGCAACATCTGAGTGGGTTTGAGGGTTACAAATGCTAACAAGCCATGGCAATGCTCATTTTAGTCTATTTAGAGGAAACGGGAAGGCATTTCAGTTCATCAAAACACTGATGATTAATCAACTGACTACCACGCTGTTTTCATTAGGCTTATTTTTAAAGGTCTGACATGCTGTGTAAAAATATTCCCCTAATAAATATGCTTGTGGCAGAGGGAATGGCGCAGAGGGAATGGCACAGAGGGCTTGCAGCAGCACTGGTTTCCAGGTACCCAAGGTAAATATGCCAGTGGGCAGAGAGGAATGAGCAGGCAGGGCTCAGGATGGCCATGAAGAGGGGACAGCTGGCCCTGGGCTGCAGGAGAAGCTGTGCTGGTGGACATGGGGGCAGCCAGGGGTTCCAGAGCAGGGGAAAGGCTTTTCTCTTTCCGCTTTCTCCACCCCAGCCACACAGCTCTTCCACCAAGCTCCATTTACAGATGCATTTCCAGCCTGGAGGTAAGGACTTTGGCATTATCACCAGTGGTGGGCTGGTGACACCTGAGGCTGGCTGCTGCAGTATGGGCTGGGCCAGTGGGACACACTGAGAGCCCTAGGATGGTGGAAAGGTAGGATGGTACAAGGACATGTTCCCTCCTGAGCACACATGGATGGCCTCAGGCAGGGCCTGGAGCAGACCTGCTTTGGAGATGACCCCAGGCTCCAGCAAGGGATGGAGATGGGACACAGTGACCCATGGTTTTAGAAACACAGATCTGGTTTCTTGCCTGAACTTTTTTTCCTCCTGATTCCTGTCCTCTGCTGCCACTGGGGCTGGGCACGTGCCAAGGGCTCTCCTGAGGGAGCTCCACAGGAGATGAAGCAGCTTGAACCCCTCTCATTCCCTGTGACCATCAAGCACTTCTTCCAGTAACCTGCAGCTCCTAGATGGGATTGTTCTCATGCATCCCAAATTTGCTGTAAGCAAATGATCCTGTAAATGCTACCCACAGTAGCAGAAACACCCATGATGTTCACTGCATTTCTCTTGCATTCCCTTGTTCCCATGACTGGGGCCACAGTTGAATCCTTTCCCCCCAGCTTCTTTTCCCTGACTTCTCACAGCTCTCTTTCTCCCTATTCCTTTTACCTCAGCTCTTTTCCCAAATCCCATTCTCTGGCTCCAGGTCTCTCCTTCCCCAAACCTGCCCCACACCACAGCACATGGACACGTGGCCACACATCCATGGATGGAAGCTTTAACCAGATAACAGGACATACCCAGCATATGCTGCAGCAGCTTTCCCAAGTAAGAATTTCCCATGGATTTAATTCTCCTCTAGTTTAATTTGCTTGGAGTAAACCATCACCTTCTCCAAGCATGGGAGAGGTTGCTGGTCATTCTTACCAGGGTTTTTCTCCCTTTCTCCAAGATCTCTTCATCCCTGGCCAAAGCCTTTGCTCTTCTTCGTCTTGGATGTGCCCAGGTGCTCAGGGGAGACTCAGAGCTCACCAGCGTTAGACTGGGTGAACTTGGGCTGGGATGGAGAAAGATTTTTGGAGCAGTTGGCATGAAGATGAGGCTGCTGGCTCTGACTCGATGGGTGCTCAGCCCGGGGTCACCAAAGGGTCACAGAGCCCTGAGGAGTATAAATGTCCCTTCTCAGAGGAACCTGCAACCTGGGCACTCCCAAACACCTTGGAGAGGCCCTGTTGGGTATCAGCAGGGGAACACAAGTGTCCTCATCCCACAGTCCTCCTGCCAGGGCTCTTCCTCCACCAAGGTGCTTCAGGATGTCACTGAGCATCTGTGCACCATTCTGGTGCTGGGATGCTCACCACAGCTTGGTGAGAAGGACTCCTGGCTCAGTGCCAGCGGAGGTGGCATCACCTGCTCCCTGCAGCATCCAGGACACCTCTGGAAGCCCCATCCCTCATTCCTGGGGTGGCAGCAGTGGGAGCTGTGTGGATGCTGGGCCAGGTTCTGTACGGGTCTGGCATGAGCCTTCCTGTCCCTGTTCAGCCTTGCACCAGGGAGCCAAGAAATCGCTTAACTAAATAAACAGCTCTCTCATCCCCAGTGGCATCTGTTTATACACCAGGTACAAACAGTCCCCAGGGCTGCCCATGCACAGCCAGTTCTTTCCACAAAAATCTGTCCCTGAGGGCTGACAGTACTGCATGTGGGGAAACCTCAGCTTTATGCTGCCCCAGAATGGACACTGTGGAGCCCCAAGATGAAGAGGAAGCCAACCTGACTGCAGACTGTGGTGTCAGGATTCAGGTCTGGGGGTTCCAGGCACTGGGTGAAGCCACAGTGCTGTCCTGATCATTAGAGGGTCCGGGGAGATTGTAAAGGCATCACAGCTGCATCTCCAGAAACATCTTCCATTGTCTTTTCCCTGGAGTCCTAAAATCGCCCCAGCAAAGATAATAAGCCAGGCCAGTGCTGAGGACATGTGTGTTCCCTAGCTGTGGAGGAGGGAGAAGAGCATTTCTTTGCCAAATCTTAATGTGCAGTTTATGGTAGTATCCTCCACTCTGCAGCAAACTTGGTCCCAGTGTCAAGTTAATCTCCCTTCAGCCACCTGAAGCATTGGTTTCTCTCCCTTGGGAATGGATGCGTTTCATGTCATGGAGTCCCAGACTAATTTGTGTTGGAAGGAACCTTAAAGCTCATCCCATTCCACCCCCTGCCATGGGCAGGGACACCTTTCACTATCTCTGGTTGCTTGAAGCCATGTCCAACCTGGTCTTGGACACTTCCAGGGCTGGGGCAGCCACGGCTTCTCTGGGCAACCTGTGCCAGGGCCTCAACACTCTCACGGGGAGAATTTCTTCCTAATACCCTACCTAACTCTGCCCTCTGGCAGTTTAGAGAGAAGGATGGGAGCCATTTCAAAGGTTGTACCAATGCTGATGGAGACCCCTCCCAGCCCCTCAGCCTTGGTGAAGGCTGCAACAAGGCATTGGCTGTGTCCCCAAGCTGCTGGAGCTGGCTACGGCCAGCAGCAATGCTCAGGACAGGCTGTACCAAGGGCAAGGGTCACGTGCTTGTAAAAATGGCCAAAACTTCCTTCTGACCTTCCCCCAGACTCTCCAAGTTAAGTGTTTCCCTCTTATGATGTCTTTGGACACTGGGAGCAGATATGCTGGGAGAACCTCATGCATTAGAAAGCTATAAATACCATGCTCCCATTTACTCAGTTTTCTGCTTAAAAGTGTAAACTGCTGTTGAAAGGAGAATGGTTTTGCAGAACCCAGGGGTAGAGTGACTATTGGGGCTTTCCCCTACTTGCACACACATCCAGGACAGTGCAGAGAGTGTTGGGCTACAGACTGTGAAAAGCCACCAAGCATCCAGCTGGAAACCATTTAGGAAAGGTAGGGAAGCACCTGGGATTCACAGGGAGACAGGTGCTACCTCCATCCCTAGTTATAAAAATTATTTTAAAATTTTTACTTACAGGGGGTATGAGAGAAGGTGCCTCCTACAGCTTGTTAGTTTATGGCCTACTAGAGAGGGTGTCTTGCAGACCTCCAGAGCCCTTTGGGAGAGGGGGCTGGAGGCAGGAGAGCAGAGCTGCCTTAGAGAGCTGCAGCAGGACCTCATCACACCTGGGTCCTGCAGGCTCTGCCTACATTCAAGGCACTCAGATGCTGAACCATTTCCTGGAGCTGCAACCTTGGTTGGGCCAAACATTCCTCTTCCAAAGGCCAGCCACAGGCTGCAGGAAGTTCCCATGTGACAGAGGTTGGTAACAGTGAGACTGGGGTAGCAAGTCTGCAGGTCAGAGGTACCTGTTTCTGTAATTCCCAGGTGTTTTTCTCCCACTAGGAAAAGAGATTGATCAGGAATAAGGGAGACAAAAATCAAGAAGAAAAAGGAAGAGAATCTTCTTCCAAAGAACTGGCCCAGAAACATGATACTAAAGTGGGAAAAGACTCTAAAAAGGAAGAAAGTGTTCAGAAAACAGACCTGAAAAGTAAAGATGAGACTGAGACCAAGAGCAAAGAGAACAAAGCTATGAACGATAAAGCCAAGGCCATGGAGAAAAAGCTGATGGGGAAGGACAAGAAGGAGGAAGAGAAGGGTTCAGTGTTGAAGAAGGACACAAGGAAGGACAAAAAGGAGGAAGAGAAGAGCTCAGAGTTGAAGAAAGATGCAGAGGAGGACAAAAAAGAGGAAGACAACAGTTCATATTTTAAAAAGAAAGCTGCAGGAAAGGATAAAAAGGAAAAAGAGAAGGTCTCAGCAGAGAAGGAGGAGACAGAGAAGGAAAAGCAAGAAGAAAACAATTCAGCATCAAAGGACACAGGGAAGGACAAAAAGGAGGAGAAAAGTTCAGAATCAAAGAAACAGGCAGAAAAAGACATAAGAGGGGAAGGTAAGAAAGAAAATGATAAAAAAGAAGAGGAAAAGGCTTCAGCTGTGAAAAAAAACAAGGCAGATGAGAATGATAAATCCCAGACAGAAGCAGAAAAGGCAGAAAAGGTGGAGGAGAAACAGGAGGCCAAGGCAGCAGCTGGGAGCAGCCCTTCCAAGTCTTCCTCCAGCAGCTCTGCAGATCAAGCCAAGGACGATGAAGCCTCCAGCATCTTTGACGAGCTTATTGAGAAGGTGAAGAACAATGATGCTGAGGTGACTGAGGTCAATGTGAACAACTCCGACTGCATCAACAATGAGACCCTGGTGCGCTTCACTGAGGCCCTAGAATTCAATACTGTGGTCAAGGTGTTTGCCCTGGCTAACACCCGTGCTGATGACCATGTGGCCTTTGCCATTGCCATAATGCTGAAGTCCAACAAGGTGCTGACAAGCATCAACTTGGACTCCAACCACATCACAGGCAAGGGTATCCTGGCCATTTTCCGAGCACTGTTGCAGAACAGCACACTGACGGAGCTACGTTTCCACAACCAGCGCCACATCTGTGGGGGAAAAACAGAAATGGAGATTGCCAAGCTCCTGAAAGAGAACACCACACTCCTGAAGCTGGGCTACCACTTTGAGCTGGCTGGGCCACGCATGACCGTCACCAACCTGCTGAGCCGAAACATGGACAGGCAGAGGCAGAAACGCCTCCAGGAGCAGAAACTGGCACAGGAACGGGGGGAGAAGAAAGACCTCCTGGAAGTGCCCAAGCCTGGAGCACTGCCAAAGGGGTCACCCAAGGCATCTCCACAGCCATCCCCCAAGGCTTCCCCCAAAAGCTCTCCCAAGAAAGGAGGGGCACCCACCATGCCACCCCCACCTCCTCCTCCACTTGCCCCACCACTGATGATCAACGAGAACCTGAAGAACTCGCTCTCACCAGCCACACAGAGGAAGTTGGGAGACCGGGCGCTGCCAGTCCAGGAGAAGAACTCTCGAGACCAGCTCCTGGCAGCCATTCGTTCCAGCAACCTCAAACAGCTCAAGAAGGCAAGTGCAGGGCTATGTGGGGCGATGAACAGGGTGAGGCTGGGGGCTGGGGGCTGAGGTCATAGCCACTGTCACTCTGGCAGTTTCCTTCTCTGGAGTGGAGTTGTGTCCAACCCCTGCACAGGGGCAGATCCATCCCCTTGCCAAGCACATGGGGAAGGAAGATCCATCCTTTAATACCATCCTGCAGAGCAGATGGCGTCAGCAGGTTCATCCCATGGCAGAGCATATAATAGGAGACCCATCCCTTGGCAGAGAGCATGACAGGTGCTGATCCGTTCCTTGGCAGAGCTCCTGTGTTGGGCAGATCCACCAGGATCCAGGGGCTGGGACACAAGAAAAAAGCCATCCATAAGTTATAACTCACTGGCCTCTTGCTGTATACAATGATATCTTGTTGTTGTGGCTGAGCCCATGCCCCTGGGGTGGAAGGTGGCCCAGGATGGCTGGAGAGGTTTCATCTACATTTAAACAACTGAAACATTTCTTGATGTCAGTCCCAGTCGGGGCTTGACTAAGCTTTTTGAACTCTTTACATATGAGTGAGTGAGTTGCTCTGAGGGTACTGACACAGCACCTTGGGGACCAGCAGAGAGGCATGCCCTACTTCTCAAAACAGCTAGACTGTGTTAGCCAAGGGTGGCCTGGGTGCTTGAAAGCTGTTGTAGCAACTGCCCTCCTAATACAGGAGTCCCATAAATTCACCCTTGGGTAGCACATTTTCGAGTATGTACCCCGTGCAGTAATAACTGCTGGAATAAAAAAGCCTAATGCTGGTCCCAGCATGCAGCCTTGAAACCTCTTACACACTCCAGGTGGTTTTGTGTCCCTGCTGTGCTGTCCATGGGCTGGAGTGTGGGGACAGCCAGCCTGGCCAAGTGAAAAAGGTCATTGAATGGTTTGGGCTGGAAGAAACCTTAGAGACAATCTCTTTCCTGTCATGGGCAGGGGCACCTTCCACTAGCCCAGGTTGCTCCAAACCCCATCCAACCTGGCCTTGGACACTTCCAGGCATGGGACAGCCCCAGCTGTGGGCAACCTGTGCCAGGACCTCCCCACGTTCACAGGGAGGAATTTCTCCCCAGTTTCCAACTCTGCCCTGGATGTCCCTATACCATGTCAATGACATTCCTTCAACCGCTCCCATTGCTCGCCCAGTAATGGGGTGTGCTTCCCTGCAGGTGGAGTTGCCGAAGCTGCTGCAGTAGGGAGCAGGAGGATTTTTCCCCTACAGCCTGTGGCAGGCCCCCATACACTCACCTTTCTCATGACTGTTTCCATGACAAGCCCTTTGGAACCTGCAGTGACCAACACCAAGGAACAGGGATCTCTCTGGGACACGGAGAATGGGCCGGGCCCAGCAGGACATGATGGAGGAGGTTGTATTTATTTTTTTATGGTTGTGAAGCCTTCAAGCTCACTCTTCTACCAGCACTGTGCCTCGCCGGAGATGCCAAGAATAGAGCACAGGTCTGGAGAGCTGATCCTTATGGAAATCCACTGTCAGAGTGTAACAAAGGGGTTTGGCACCCCACTCTATCCAGGGTCCAGCCTGGGGTGAGCAAGAGTACCCCCAGCCTTGGGGGGAGCAGGGGACACCCAGACCATCATCACATCACCACCAGGTTTCTGGGTGGCCGGCAGAGTTTTGGGATTCAGGCACAGCAGTGGCTGCAGAGACAGGAGTTCAGGCTTGACATCAGGAGGAATGAGAGGGTGGGAGAAGGGAGCAGCCAGGGAGAGAGAGGCCATGGAAGTGGTGGGACACAGGGAGCCAGGCTCGGGCCAGGAGCTCAGGGTATCTTGTACGCACCTACAGCACTGCAGGGGGACCCCCGGAACCTCAGAGCATGGAAACCAAATGCACCTCAGAGAGAGTAGGGAAAGCACCAGCTCAAGGGGGCAGTGGGTTTTGGGGTATTGTGATGCCCATCTCCCCCCCCCACCCCATCCATCCTGTCGTGACACCTTGATAATGATTTGTATGACTGCGGCCACTGCATCAGCAATAAAGCTCACCCAAAGCTTCCTGTGCTCCACGCCCCCAAACCCCAAATTGAAGCACAGGGTGTGTCTGGGAATGGACTCAGCAACCTCAGCCAGGGGCAGCTCTTCCCTCTCCCACACCCATAGGTCACCCAGAACTGGGCACCCTGGGACCACCTGGACAACCCAACCTGGGTGTCCCTGGTCACCCACCCAGAATTTCTGCAAATGGGGCACCCAGGACCCCCCAAATGGGACAGCCAACACCCCCCCCACACCCAAAATGGGGCATTCTGCTGCTGCTGGACACAAACAACCAGGCACCCAGAGCCATGCAGACACCCCAAAACTCTGGAGTCACGAAGAACTGGACACCCCAGGACCACCCCACAGTCACCTAAAACCCTTCAAGTCCACCCAGAACTGGCAATCCTGGGGCTGCCCAAGGGTCACCCCGAACTCCGAGGTAGTCTGGAACTGGGTGCCTCAGGGTCACCCTAAAACTCGGGGATGACCCCAAACTGGGCACCCCAAACCCTCGGGGTCACCCAGAACTGCTCTCCCCCTGGCACCACGGGACCGGGGCCGTTTTGGGGATGCAGCAGCACACAAGTGTTCTCCGGGAGGCTCCCCCTGTTCTGGGACACCCATGTGCGTGGCTGAGAGGCGGCTCCCGGTACAAGCGAAACGCCGTTTTGGGGAGTATTTCTGCAGCGCCGTATCCGTACCACGGGGTCCTCATGCCCCTCGCCCCCGCATTCCTGCCCCTTGGGGCGGCCGCTCCTAAAGCGGGCACCGCGGGGCCATTGGGACACCCCCTCTGGCCGGCCCCGGTGCGAGAGCACCAGGGGCATCACCCGAACACCGACGGTGTCACCTGAACCAGGGGGCCCGGGGCGCGCCGGGCAGCGCAGCTCCCGAGGGGGAGGGCGGGGCCCGGCAGGGGGCGCCGCTAACGCAGCGGGGGCGCTGCTCTGCGCGGCGGGGCCGGCAGGGGGCGCCGTTAACGCACCGGAGCCGCCGGTAACGAACCGGGGCGGAGCGGCGCGCGGCGGGGCCGGAGGGGCCGTGGGGCAGCCCCGGCCCGTCCTGCCCGTCCCGGATCCGGCAGCGGCAGCGCCTGACGGGGGCTGTTGGGGGTGTTCGGCGCCGCTCCCTCCGCTCGGTACCGTGGAACCGGCACAGGGCACACGGCGGTGGCGATGGACGGCGGGGCGGCGGCATGAGGCGGCGGAGGCGGCGGGGAGCATGGCGGCGGCGGGCGGCGGCGGGGCGCGGCGGGGGCTGCTGAAGCGGAAGCCGAACTTCACGCTGCAGGAGCTGGAGGTGCTGATGAGCGAAGTGCTCCGGTACGAGCCGCTGCTGTTCGGCGCCGCCGCCGGTACCGTGAACGCGTACGAGAAGCAGAAGATCTGGTGGCGGATCACGCACAAGGTGAACGCTGCCGGTCGCCACCAGCGCGACATCGGCGAGGTGAAGAACCGCTGGCGGGGGCTACGCCGCCGCGCCGGGGACAAGATCAGCCGGCACCGGCTGGAGCGGCAGGGCCCGGCCGGCAGGGCCGCCGCCAGGAACGGGAACACCGGGAGCACCGGGAATAACGGGAGCAACGGGAACGGCGGGGCCGAGTCCGGCCCGGGGCCCGCCCCCGCCCCCGTCTGGGGTCCTCGCGGCGCCACCGGAACCGACCCTCCGATGCGCAGCGCCGAAGGGTCGGCACAGCACGGTGAATGTGCGGGCAGCGGCGGGGGAACGGACAGGGACGGGGCAGGGACGGACATGGGGGACCAGAACACGGACATGCGGGACCGGGACTAGGACAGGAGAGAACGGGGCTGCGTCACGGGAATGCTGGGACCAGGTTGCAGGGGGACCGGCACACAGACACAGGCACTGGGACCGGTACAGGTGTATGGTGGGACGGGGACATGAAGAAACAGGACACAGACGTGGGAGACCGGGGCAGGGACTTGCTGGGTGACCGGGACGGGCATGGGGGACAAAACAGGGGCCACGGATGAGGTGGGACATCGAGAAACGGGTTTAGGAAGTGGGGGAAAGCAACAGGTACATTGGGACACTGGGACCAGGACATACGCATGGAGGAATTTCTCCCCATTATCCCATCTAACCCTGGTCTCAAGAGAGATCAGGACCAGGACCAGAACATACAGGACCAGGACATGGACATGGACATGGGAAGCAAGGACACAGACACAGGGCCACTAGGATTGGGAGAGGATGGGAGGAACAGGGACACAAGGGGACCAGGAAGTGAAGGGATCAGGATACAGGAGACCACAATAGTGACATGGAGATACTGTGGCCAAATGTGGGGGTCCAGGACACAGACATGCAAGAGAACTGAGACTGAAACAGGTCATTGGACAGCTGCATGCAGGGACACAGGAGACCCGGGCCAGGGTGTGGGGGATCAGGAAAGGGACACAGCCAGACCAGGATGCAGGGGCAGGTGCATGGGGAGATGGGGATGGGAACTCAGGAGACCTGGTTCAGCACCTGGAGAACCAGGATACAGGGCATCAGGACAGGGACATGAGGAACTGGGACAGGGACAGAGGGCCACTGTGGGGCACAGGAGAAGCACAGGGACCAGTACAGGGACATGGAGTAACCAGGACACAGGGGACCAGGACAGAAACATGGCTCTGGGACAGGGACACAGGAGACCAGGACCAAGAGAAGGGGATGAGGAGCAAGAAACTGGGAGCAGGACACGTGTAGTGGGACCAGGACAGGAACACAGGAGATTAAAGCCAGGACAGGGACACTGGGACCATACCATGGGGAACAGGGATATGGATACAGGGGACAATGGCAGGGACATGGAGGATTGGGACAGGGACATGAGGGATATGGGGGCATCTTAAAGCATCACTAGGCCTGGGAAGATACATGAAGGAACTGGGACGCAGATCAAGGGCAGTGATGTGAGGGGACTGGGACTAAAATGTGGGAAAAATCAGGACCAGGACACTGGGACCACTACAGGTGCATGGAGGGACTGGGACAGGAACAGTGGGGCAGGGACACAAAGGGAACATAGAGCAAAGGGATAAGAATACAGAATATTGGGACAGGGACATGGGTGACAGGGATGTGGGAGGACTAGGACAGAGACAGGAGACAGGGAGAATAACAGCTACACTAGGCACAGGATGTGGGATGACCCTAGGCACAGGACTAGGATGTGGGAGGACCAGGAGAGGGACTCCGGAGACAGGGAGAATAACAGCTAGACTAGGACGGAAGGGTACCAGGATCAGGACAAGGATACGGGTGACTGGGATTAGGACAGGGACAAAAGGCACAGGGTACTGGGACTTGGACAGGGATAAGAAGGAGCTGGGAACAGAGCAAAGACGTGGTGGGGCTGGGACAGTGACATGGGGCAGGACCAGGAGAGAGACAAGAAACATGTCATACTGGGACCAGAATAGGGACACAGGGGTTAGTGGGGTGAGAACTGGGACATGGTGGTACCAGGACCAAACAGGAACATGGAGGCACCACATTCAGGACAGGGATATGGGAGTACTGGGAACAGAAGAGGGACAAGGGACATGGGATGGGGTTGAACCATAATGAGGGACACGGGACTATGGAGATACAGATGGAACCAGGACTGGGCACAGGAGAGGGGATGTGGGAGCACAGGGATGGAGGCAACAGGGTCTGTCACTTGGTCCGTGGGTCACTGGGCACACGGGAGAGCCCTGCAGCTGCCCTGTGCTCCCCCTCCGTCCCACAGGTGTCAAGGAGCCGGTGAAGGAGGAGCCTGTGGAGGTGAAGACTGAGCCCTTCCACGGCCCCGCTGCCGACGGCATTCCCGGCCGCGGCTCAGACTGTCGGCTGCCCCGCACCGGCATCTGCCCGCCCAACGAGCTGTGCGAGGGCTGGAGCCGGAGCCCCCCGCGCTCCGCACCCTCCGAACTCTCCCTCGGCGACCTCCGCGGCCAGCAGGAGCCGCTGGGCTCCGACTTCCCGAGCCTGCTGTTGGATCCGGAGGCCGAGCAGCTCAGTCACTGCGGCGCGGGCGAGGCGGGGGTCCCCGGGGCGGCGGGGCTGGACGGGACCCCCGAGTGCCCCCAGATCAGCCTCGTGCAGTCCAATGAGCGGCTGGTGCAGGAGATGCGGGCGTTCCGCCGGGAATACGCCGAGAGCCGTCGGGAGACCACGGCGGTGCTGCGCGGCATTGCCC